CTTATTGTATGCATGATATTCGAATTATCATGAAAGATGCATTATAGCAGCTGCTCAAACAGACTGAAGCCAAATAAAGTTATTCCATGAAAATTGTTCAGTACGTAGGTACTAGACCTACCTACGTAGGTGTAGGCCTACCTACGTACCTCTACATAGGTGTAGACCTACCTACATTTACATTCCCTCAGATAATGTTAGTTTCGTACTAGAGATAGAACATATTCCCAGAAGTTCCACAAGGGATTCGGACACGAGTTGAATATACATTTTCTACAAAAAACAGTTAAAATGTAGGTATTGCATTGATACACATACCTGTGTCTTAATGACGTCACGTAAAACATCGGAATAGTTGCGTGTCTTAGGAGCGACGCGATACTTAGTGCGCCGCCTGCGCATGTTGCGTAGTTCCAACAGGATCTCTTTGCGCGTGAGGATTACCTTGGAGCCCTGCTCGTTACTCTCACTATAGGAGAGAAAATAACATAAATATAATTAAGGAAAACTATGGTTTTACAAAACGTATTTTGTAATTTCTTGTTATAGTGCAATATTTATGCATAGTGTGTACATTACAGCAAGAAAAAGTAAAGAACTAATTAAATAAATGAAAATTTAGTTATAATTAAGATATGTATTAAATAAAATATACTAACCTGAGTAATGCCAAGTCAGCGAGATCATGACAGGATGGTACTGCACTGACCACAGCATCGTGTATGACGCGGCGCTCGTCTGCCGAGTAGCACACCTGAAGCCGCTCCAATGACATCGGCTCTGCTCCGTGGCAACCCACGCCTTTGTTGAGGAAACTCAATGGATATAGATATACATTCACTTACACATGCATGTTATGTTACATTTAACAGAATATTTTTACATATATATTTATATGGACAAATCATGCAGACATGACACATTCAATCAGCACAGCAGGTATAATTTTACAATAATTTTAGTTACTATGTGGAATAGTTTTAACCTCTCGCGCGTCTCGTACACGGGTTTTAATAGAAAGCGAATGAACTATTCTGTTCAATCAAATAAAGAACGGCTTGCAACTTGAAACTATACATCACAGAAAAAGTTTCCAATCGGTGCAAGTCACTCTCGTACACCCGTGTGTACAATTTCGCGATGGGCACTCAACTCTCTCGTACACTCGTGTGTACAAGAAACGCGCGAGAGGTTAATTATTAAATTGTCAAACACCGTGAGGACAGGAGGACAACGGTGACCGCAACTTATTGTTTTTCAATTGCCCTGCGTGGGCTGAGCACCGCCGTGCCCTCAGGGAAGTGATCGGCGATGGCGACCTCTCGCGTCCGGGCCTAGTGCAGGCCATGATGCGGAGCGAGGGGGACTGGGATGCCGTCTCCTCCTTTTGCGAAGCAGTCATGCTAGCTAAGGAGGAGGCGGGACGCGTGAGGGAGCGAAGCGCTGCCTCCTCGCAACCCAGCCATCGCGAAGGCAACACCGGGCGTCGTGGATCGCGGGACCATCTCTGGCCACCGTAAACGCGTGCCTGCGAACGGCGAGCATGGGTGGCTCCCCGTCCGACCAGAAACAGACCCGAGCGTACGGCGTGTCGCGTTCCGCGCGCGCCTCAAAGAGCCATCAGACCACCACAGATGGGGCCCAATAGAGCCGATGCCGATTCGGAGTCGCGGAGAACCTAACGGGTAACCGGGGCTCCGGCTCGACGTGCAGGAGAAGGAACGGGGTGGTTTTTAGTCAGTAAGAGTCTGACACTCCCTCCCGCCTTACCCAGGTAAGAGCAGTCATTCTATGATTTTCCCCCATTAAAAAAAAAATGTTCTTTAATTGTGTCTGTAATGACTGTACTCAAAAGGTCAAGTTCTATCTTGCTAAATTTCTACCACATCGGTGCTTAAATTATGTATTATCTAAATGAACCTAATTAAAAAAAAATTTTTTTTGAACATTTTTCTCATGACTACACAAAGTACTTTTCCCAAAATGACCAGACGGTCTAAAATACTATCTGAGACCAGATGAGTGTAAAATACATACTATGTTCTTACATATAGTTATTTAAATAAATATTTATTTCAATATGTGTAATATTATAAAGGATACATCAAATAGAGGATGTGGCAGTACAGATTCTCCAGAAAATGTTATATTTTCTATAAACTGAAAAGTAAAATATGTACTTTGTAAATATCTGGCATGCATTTATGAATAACTACATATAGCTTGGACACAAAATATGTTGTGGGTACTCTACCTTTTTTGAATGTAATATCTGCTCTTGATGCATTTGTAATCATTTCCTGGATATCATCTTTCTCTGTGGAAAATTCATTAATAATTAACACATTTTATATAAACAGGATTGTAATCAAATAAAGTAATGTTAAGAACATTTACTCAGTTTCACAAGTGTATTGGCATTTGCATCAAGAGGCTCCGGTAACATCTGATCTTCTTTAGAATATCCATTCTCCCTCAAAAAGCATATTTTCTCGTGTTTTTCAATCTTATCAGGAGGGATATTGTGATTCGAGTCATATCTGCAAGTACATAGCACAGGGTTCTGGAAATAAAAAAAAACATTCATAAATGAAGGTTCTTGTATGGAGGTTATATTTTGTTCTAAAAGCAAAATTTTGTACACAAATAAAGTTTTTTATAAACAAATTACTCTTATTTAGTCGATGGGTACACTTAGAAGCAGAATTTATGTTAATACCATACACAGAAAACAGAAGAAAAACAAATATGACCTGTAGTAGATTTTTGCGGTCCCACTGAAGAGATTGTAAAATCATTGTGAGATCATTGTCGACTTTTTGGGTATAAGACTTTAGTTTCGTTAAGTCTTCTCGTCTTTTATCCATTTTAATATATATTTTATAATTTGTATGTGTAATATTGTAAACAATATTTTGAGTATTGAACTTTGACTTTGACAATTTTGACAAATCTCACAGGATCTCGCTTGCTCTTGACTTTGACGTTTGAAAAAAATAACATTAATAGTCTCTGGAATCAGAGGAACGACCACTGATATGATAAGAGTATGGATAAGAAACAACTAGGAAAAAATCGTGCCTACTTATACTTCACTAGGTCACCCGTAATGGCGGATAGAACTAGGGATGTAACTTTTAAAACTGTAGAAATATCGATATTTTAGAATTGGTTTTAATTGATTTATCAATAAAATATCATTATTTTATGATTCATCTGGATTTAATTTTTATGTAGCTGCTAAACATTACCAACATATTAGCGAAAAATATTAAGTAGTTGCTGCGTGCACTGTCACTCCAGTCGATCGTGCCTATACATTCACATCATAACTTTCACGATACTTATGTATCGAAATTCATGAAAAGGATTTTCCATCAACTGGTCAATATTTATATACTTAAGGTTAAGTAATTTTTGAGGGTTGAAAAATAAAACTGTATCAAAGTATTCATAAAATCAAGATTTATAATATACAATATCTTCGTATTTTTCGTAGTGTTTCCCTGTAATGTAATCTGCAAAACCATCTTTCGAGAAGACTCCAGAACTGGTTCCAAGTTCATTTTCATGCACATATCTGGCTAGAGGCTGCAACATAAATAGTATAATTTAACTTACTTGATCCAATTGAACATAGATTTTTCTATAGATTCTATAGGTACTGTACTAAGCTCTGAACGAAAATGTTTGTACATTACAATGATAGTGATAGATAGCGGAGGAAAACAGAAACATATAGGTACAAGAACCCGGTTAGTTATGAACTTAATATAAATGTTAAATAAAATGTTAAGTTTGCACCTCTTCAAAAAATGCTTCCAAAACTAATATAACAAAACACATAATGAATCGTTTACATTATGATTTACCAATAGAGCTTGTAGCGATAGGGCCCCATCACGTAGATTTACTATTAATTTATTGTTCGGTTAAAACATTAATCTTCAAAATAAAGTTAACAAACAAAGATATGTTTCCTTCTAGTATCTATATTTCCCACATTAATTATTTCCAGCCAAGAACTTCTGCGTGGTTCAAGCACAAACTAAAAAGAAAATTTATAATATTATTAAAATTATCGGCAGAGTTCGACACATTCTAATAAATACTCTAAAAATACCCTAAAGTTATATTTCATTGGTTTGTTTCATTTGAATCCGTCGAGCGGCATTTGATAAAAAAATCAATTTTGACAAAAATGCATTTCCCACAATATTATTCCTTATCTCATATTGTACAAAAATTATTCTCTATTGTATTAATTATTTATTACATTACGTAGGTATTGACGATGGTGGAATTTTGTCGATAAAATGAAATTTTTGACGAGTACTTAATGTTTTTTGTATTTTGTCATTATGTCAAATTAATGCACTTTATCATTCAGAATTTAGTATAGTTCTTTGTTCTACTTTTGACGCATTTATTATGTACGATAAAATTATCGATACGGGAACAATCATGTACATCACTATTTTTTAATGAAAATTGTTTTAGACGTATTTCAACTAAAATTAATGAAAATAAGCACTGCATTAGTTAGAAAAGTATTGTATTTAGTCAATTTGCAGCAACCACACTTGAATAGTTTGAAAAACAGAGATATTTTAATGAAAAATAACAGTACTTACCGATGTAATGTTACACCTGCCGGTTTAGTAATATTTTTAGTGCTACATCCAATAACACTGCACCCGGGCATAGTTCTTCTCACTAACCAATAATTTCTTTGTTTACCACGTACAAAAACAACAGGAATTCTACAAATTTTCGTAACAAAATATTGTTGACCAATGCTTTGACAGCTGATGTACCACTGACATGCACTGATATGGGAACGACCAACGACGGGACGGGACTTGGACTTGGCGGTACAACCGTGTAAACGACAAACAATAATTTTGGTACAAAAGACTAATGGCCAATGTATTAAAAAAGTTTGTTAATGACAGCTTTGCATGTTGACAGCTGATTCGGAAAATAATTCTTTTTAATCTGTGGAATTCGCTTAGCGAGACGTGTGTGCTTTTTTCAATAGAATTTTCTCAATAAATGTGTGTGGAAAATGGCAGATTCCGAGGTAAATTCACTAGCTTCTCGCGTTTATTCGCTACGAAACTATCAGTGTATTGATGACTGAAAATTCTTTTGACAGGTATTAAAAAAATTGAAGGATATACCGTTTAAAATCCAGACCGCAAGTTTGAAAGAACGACGTGAGGTTGTTGAAGAAATTCGGAATGTATTATCAACACCGGGTAAGTATCTTCGGGAGACACCTTTTATCCATATTTTACGGTAAAATTGCAGTTGACGTGCATTGGTTGCATATAGATGCATAGTATTTATAGGTTGGTTGTTCAGCTGTATTGATCCATAGACCCCTGAAGGTGGCTGAAACATCGTGCTCTCACCTGATTGATTATTGAACTTGCCAATCAGAGGTCGCTGTGTGCAATGCAGATTGCATTTATGTGTATATCTTTAAGAGACAATCAATAATAACTAATTAGAATGTATCCTGGCACCTGCAAGTTGAATGAAAGTTACATAAATGTAAATTATTTCAATGCACATTCAGGAAATTTTAATATTATTTGCAATAGTACAGCTTAAGCTTGTCTATCAACATGAAATGCAACAGATTTTGCTATATTTTCAGTCATAATCATTAAATGATAGTCTGTTTTAGAGTATACTTGAACAATGTATTTATCAATTAACTCAGCAATTATTTAAAAATATCATAACAATAACTTATGTTTTGAAAATAGTTCACTTGACTAACTATTGTAACATCTACACTTGACTTATATTCACAATAAAGGATTTGAATTTCTAATTTGAATTAGATTTTTGTTGGCTACTTACATATTATTATTGTGCAATAATTTGTAATATTATTTTTAGGCATAATATTAAGTTTGTGGTTAATGAATACCATGCCTGGCAAAGTAAATAGAGATAGTTTTACATATGAAATCAATACTGCCCTGTTTCCACAATACTATAATTATATAGTTTACTAGCTACTTTCATGCGGTTTCACTTGCTCTGCTCAGCACCTGTTGATTGTAGTGTGCTGTTTTTAGTAATAGTCTTTCTTGTTTAATGGACTATCCAACATTAAAAGAATTTTTCAAATTGTACCTGCATTTAATATGTTTAATGGGCGAACATTTGACCACTGATAACACATGATGGAGCATGTCAACCCCCTAAGCAACCTATTGTTCACTTGTTTCACTATTCACTCAGGCCTTAAAAACACCCAGGTTATACTGACTTTCCTTCAAGAAATACAGACTCTGGCAAATACAGATTAGCGCATTCAAACAAATAACTTTATATCGAGGGGTAACGGACTATTTGGTTTAAGCGACATTTTGGGCGATTTTGAGTTATTACATATATTCGACGGAGAAAGATTTGCTGATTCCGAATATATATATAACTCAAAATCGCCCAAAATGTCGCTTAAACCAAATAGTCCGTTACCCCTCGATATAATCTTATTATATAACATTAATTATATATATATAACATTAATTTTTCACATCTTATACTTAGTACTACTACTATACTAAGTATAAGATGTGAAAAATTAATGTTATATCATATTTGACATAGTCTTTAAAGATAAAAGAATAAGTGTGTTATTAATGTCCAGTAATGTAAATATTATACTACACCACATTATAAGTAAATATTGCTTAGTACAAGAGGTAACATTGTTTGCACATGAGTATGCATATTCAATATACTATGATCTAGTTTAATTAAAGAAGTGTCTTAAATATGTTTGTCTACATTTACTTTCTACTGAAGACTCAAACCTAGTCATGGTTTTAATTTTATATCAGGTATAACAGAGCCAGCAGTGCGGTTTGTGTGTCGCCTGCTGGTGCTCACTCTACACCGCTACAGGGACTCCACCTCCCAGTCCTATATCAAGAGCTTGGTGGCCCACCTAGCCGCTACCCACAGAGAATGGACCCTCAAAGCTCTGTTGCCTGTTCTGCTAGAAATATCAGAACAGCTGAAGAACACAGCTTCATCGTAAGTCATATTGCATTGGCAAAGCACAAACTCGGTGCTTTTTCTCATGAGAGTAAACAGAAACTAAATAGTATCTAGCTTTTCATCAAGTTTCTTAGATATTTCTTCATATTTCATGACTAAATATTTTACTAATCGATAAAAATGTATTTGCAGAAAGAGCATTTGCCAAAGTGGACTGTATGCACTGCGCTGGTCCACAGTTCTCATAGATGGCACAATAAAGTCCACAGAAGAGAATGGAGTGGACTACAATACTCTTGTGATATCCCAGGCCAACCTACTAGCTGCGATTACTGCATATGGGGACCATAGAAAGAGTGATAAGGCATATTCTATGGTATGAAAAATACATATAACAAAAGTTTTTGTGGAAGAAGTTAATTCGGTATTATTGTTATAGAAAAGCAATCAAAATCTTATTTCACTCTGCCTATTTTCTTTCCAGTTACATACATCTTGGGTATCAATAGGCAAGGCTAAATTATCCAAGTGGATAGAGGTGTTACTTGCGACACCACCAGACTTAGGTCCACAGATCTGTGTGACATTCTCCATTCTGTGCCGACATCTACAGCAGATTGGTGACGGTGATACCATTGAACAACACAAGGTATGTAACTAAATGCTTGCCTAAGTATTTGATACTATTCATTCTGCTATATGATTACTTTTGTGGCATGCACATCTAATTAGATCCTGATATTAAATTCTGGTAGAGGTTATTAGAATTAACGCCTGTAGCACGAACATGTATACATTGTTGGTTACACTTAAAATGGCTCAAATGTATTTGACATTTTATTTTATCACATGTTATTCTTGTAGACTAAGATGCTGGAAAGCTTTACCAAGAGTTTAATCAGCGTCAAATCTCGACCAAACGCGAACTACATCAAGGGTTGTCACAACCTGTTAAGTCAACTCAATTCTGGAGATGTCCGCGACGCACTGTTACCGGCGCTACACAAGGCCATGCTGCGCAGCCCTGAGACCATCGTGCAGGCAGTCGGACAGGTGTTCGCCAGCCTCAATGTAGAGTTGGATGGGCTGGCTGTCGACATCGGCAAAAGTTTAATTGGTAAGTGTTTATTTAACTGCTTATACATTGCACGTGTTATTATCATATGGGTGCGTGAACGTTTGGTTGCGGCGTGCAGTGAACCTGCACTCGAAGGACGAGTGGGTGCGCGGCGAGGCGCTGGTGGCGCTGGAGCGGCTGGCGGCGCGCTGCCGGCAGCCCGCCGCCGCGCGCGCGCTGCTCACGCATGCCTTCGCGGAGTACCACGGCGCCAGTGGCAAGCTCACCTCCAGCGAGGACAAGATCGCAGTACTCAATGTGAGTTGTATTCTTCTTTGCTACAGTGGAAAATGCTCGTCGTCTTATGAAGAAGACGAAACACATCGACAGAGTCGTTGACTGAATCCGATGTCTTATTTTGCATGTAGGCACAGGAGTCACAAAATTCTTTACCACTATCTGCAAATAAATTTCTAAAACATATGCACTGATTTGCTCAGGGTGTGAGCTGTCTGCGCGCGCTGCCGGTATCTGGCGCAGATCGGCAGACCCTGTTCAGTGAGGTAGCGACTCAACTGGCGCGAGTACTAGACAGTGAGTCCCACGAACGCACCCTGTGCGTGGCACTGGACACGCTGCAGCGGTGGACCGCCGGTCTGGGGGCCCCGCTGCCTGATAAGATACTCGATATATTCAAGGTACGTATTTCCATTTAACGGCTGCAAGATTGACACAGTGACTGAACGATCTGAACAAGTACTAATAAGTACACGATTACTTTCACAGAAGAACTTGTCAGCGAAGAGTACGACGCAGGTGGTGCGCACGATGTACACGAGCATGGTGGCGGCCGGGCTGCGCGCGTGCGGCGCCAGCCCCGCGCAGGCCGACGCGCTGCAGCCCGTACTCAGCAAGGCAGTCGACAAAGCGGCTCAGCAGCCTTTGCAGGTACTTACGCATATTTTTACTGTAATATCGGGCCCTAACAAGCAGAAGGATCACCACTGACGCACTGGAAAGCGCTCAGCTCCACTAATTAACCCGTTGACACTCGGGGGTCACAAGTGCGATGCAAGCTTTTAAGGAGCTCAAAAAGTAAAGCAAAACTAGATATAATGTCACCACTAGACCTTTGGTGCAATGTCCCCAGCACCTGGTGGTGAACGAGGGTATCTGCGCGATGCTGTGCCTGGTACAGCTGGACGCGGCGCGGTCGCTGGCGACGCGGCCGCAGTGGGCCGCGCTGGCCCACGCCGACAAGCACGTGCTGCTGCACGACCGCGTGCTGGCCGCCGCCGCCGACGACGGTAACTATTGACCCTGTACTGCACACAACACTACTATACATACTTCGTTACTATGCTTCGATATTATTCAACAAACTTCGATTTCATTACGTATATACATATACATATCCATCATCTTGTCTGGCTCCCATTGGGATCGTCAGAGATAATGTAACGCCAAATGACACGATGTAGCATTTCTGCTTCTTGTATATTGCATCAACCACATAAATAATGATAATTAATTAATTACATAATTTCGTTACATAGAAATAAACAAATAATCTCCATTCAATACAATAATAACTAAGCTATTTGTTTTCATATTATTGTAATACTCCAATTCATCATTGCACAATGGCTTGCCTTGTACACACAACCACTTTTTCGTTTATTCTCACTACTCATAATCTTATTCAACAGCTTAATAACACATACAAATGCTCGTACATATGCCTATTTCATTATTTTGTAATAATGAAATAGGCATATGCCTATTTCATTATTTTGTAATAATGAAATAGGCATACATCTCCTTGTCCCTATTAGTAGAAACTGAGTAAGCAATCCGAACATTCATACAAATTACATAATTTGATAAGTCTAACAAAGTACTGAGATAAAAACATGAATCCTAACAATAATAAATATTATATAATAATTTACTAAATTTCACTATAGCATTTACCCCTTTATAGTCCTAATGCAGGTGGTGTTGCTATGCAGAACAGTGTTGGAAAACTACCAAAGTGTTGCCAGCGAACAAAACTCGCCAATTTACAGAGCCTTCGTCTTAGTACTGTTATCTCCTATCAAGACTGTCCGTACATCTGCTGTAGAGGAAGTTAAGGCACTACTTGCTAAAGAAGACAGGGTTCTCTTAGCTAGGAATTTAGCACTAAAATTGAATGAAGTTCTGGAAGAAGGAAAAGTGTTCAACACCAAAGAAAAAACTCCATCTGACGAGAAAACTGCTGGTGAAGTCACTGGGAAGATGATCTTAGACTGTGTTCAGGCACTGTGTTCATTTAAAGGTGAGGTGTATCTCATTCGCTATTGATATTTCGACTATATTGCTATATTACTATATCTTGTAGTTATTTAAAAAAATAAATCTGAGTAAGATGTTCATTGTACTTACAGGTTACCCCGAGAAAGACTCCCAAGACTTAGCCCTATCAGTCCTGCCAAGCTGCCACCACCCACTGGCGGTGGCAGTGAACCAGCACGCCTGGGTGAAGCTGGTCAACTACCTCGGACACGACCCTAGAAAACTGGTCAGCTTGTACTCAAACAACCTGAAGAATAAGTACATTGTGGACTATGTACCTAATGACGTAAGTGGTGACTGCTTAAAAAATATTGTATCAATCAAGTAGTAATCGAGAATGTTGGTAAAGTTATCTCAGGATCAATGCCTGAGTTGCATAAAGTATTATGAAGTTTTAATAAATATTTGATAATGTTAGTCATTATCAATAGTGCAGCTTGAACAAAACATTATATAGGATTTTTAACTGGACTGGTTAAAACGAATTATTGGCTTTTAGTTAGTTTTTAGTACCTTTTTAAACCTTTACCTCTATTGAATGTAGTAGTGATTAAGAACTTGTTATTGTGTAGTATTAAAACGTCGTATGTTTATTTATTTATTTATTTAAAATGCTTCATGCACAAAATGTACAAAAAGGTGGACTTAATGCCGCAGGCATTTTCTACCAGTCTGACCTTTGGGTGATGCAGAGAAGAGTAAATGGTAGGTGCAAGAGGCAAGCAGTGTTTTTCTTTAACAATGAAAGATAAACTAATATATTACATAGATATACATACATAAATAAATTTAATTATAATGTATACCTACACATGAGTACAATATGCCTACATACATACATATATACATAATATATAAATATATACTTGCTTAATAATACACAGTGGATAGTTAGTGCGATGATTCAGCCAACCTCTTTAGGAAAAGCTCACGTACTTTCTGCTTAAAAGTTAGTCGAGTTGAGACCATCCTGACATCTAGGGGGTATGTTGTATATTATAGACCAACACCAACGTGGTGACGACGTTGGTCCGCGTGAGCCCGGACGTGGCGGGCAGCGCGGCGCTGTCGGCGGCGCTGGCCGTGCTCAGCGACCCCAGTCTACTGCGTGTGTCGCGGGACGAGTACTTCACGTACCTCACGCCGCCAGGGGACCTCTACGACAAGAGCGCAGTGCCAGGGTTTGTACCGATACTTCTTATAAAATATATTTATAATCAGACCTTGTAATTATGTCGACATATCTCATGCTTATCTCTGATCTCCGATCTGATCTCTCATATGCTCAGTGACTCTGTCGTGCTATGGTGCTATGGTGCTATGGTAACAGTGACTCAGTGACGTGCATTTCACCCCAAATTAAATTTTAGAGAAGGGGCTTAGTATTATATATATATAAATAAATTGTAAGGTGTAACAATCAATATGTGTGTTGTGCTTTTACAGCAATGAAGATAATAAGGAGATGAATTTGAAGCGCGAGAGCAAAGCGTACAGTTACAAGGAGCAGTTAGAGGAGTTGCAGCTGCGGCGGGAGCTGGAGGAGAAGAACAAAAGAGAGGGCAAGGTGAAAGAGGTCAGTACAACACTCACTACATGCCATTCTAGTGACTCTATGGGAAGAGTTCCATAATATACAGTGGTCCATAGATCAAGCAGCAGGCAATTAGTTTATTACATTTTCGACTTTATTGTTGTGGTATAAAGTCCAATATGAAATGCAAAATCTGACAATTAGATTAGAATAGGTTTGCTTATGATTAAAGTGAGTGAATGTATTTAATTCATTATATGAAGACTTTCGACTTAAAGTCTCTTGTAACTTTCAGGTGCCATTATCAGCTAAACAGAAGGAAGCTATCAAAGCCCAATTGGCTAAGGAGAGTGCAATCAGAGACAGATTGAGTGTGGTAAGTTTTGTTATATGGAACAGGACGCGAACGATCAGACGGACCACCTGATGGTAAGCGATCAGCGCCGCCCATGGACACCGCAACATTAGAGGAGTCACAGGCAACTATTATGTTTTCAAATTCAAATTAATTTTATTAGCTATTTCCGCGCGGTTTCACACGCTCTGCTCAGCTCCTATTTATTTATTTAAGTTTTATACAATTGCATAAGGAGGACTTAATGCTAACAGCATTCTCTGCCAGTCATCCTTTGGGTAGTGCAGAAATGTATGTGGTAGGTGGTAAGCTGCAAAACTGTCATGAGAAATAGTGGTAATTATCCAAATTAATAAAAGGGTATCAAAAGCATACATAAAATACGTAAATATAATCGTATAGATATATAAAATTATATATAATATAAATATCATTATACATATAAATATATTTGTGACTCGTATATGAATTTGTCCTATGTTACAACAAGATGAAAAATTATGAAAGATGTTATGAAACTGCCAGCTTTCCGCTAATGTACTCACGCGCCCTCCGCTTGAAACTCAGACGACTGGTTGCGGTT